CAGCACCAGGTGCCCCAGAGAGGGTGGACCGAAGACAATGATCAAGCGATTTGTCTCCTGCCATCCCTCTCCGGCCTCTGACAGACAGAGGCCAAGGACACCATTTTATCCCCTGGCTAATAGCCTTTTATGGACCTAACCTCCATGAAATTATCTAGCTTCTCTTTAAACTCTATTATAGTCCTAGCCTTCACAGCCTCCTCTGGCAAGGAGTTCCACAGGTTGACTACACGCTGTGTGAAGAAGAACTTTCTTTTATTAGTTTTAAACCTGCTCCCCATTAATTTCATTTGGTGTCCTCTAGTTCTTCTATTTAGGGAACTAATAAATAACTTTTCTTTATTCCTCCTCTCCACACCACTCATGATTTTAAAGACCTCTATCATATCCCCCCTCAGTCTCCTCTTTTCTCAACTGAAAAGTCCCAGTCGCTTTAACCTCTCCTCATATGGGACCCGTTCCAAACCCTGATCATTTTAGTTGCCCTTTGAGAAGTCAGCTGCTCTCAAAGCATTTCGCAGTCCTCCAGACCCCCTGGGGGCCTGGGGCAGAGCTCTGGCCCACATGGGGCATGGATAAAGGGGCTGGGGGTTGCGTGGAAGTCTGTAGATTCCCCCTCCCTTCGGTAGCCTAACGGGGTCCGTCAGGACGGGACCGTGCTCCTTCCATCCAGCCCAGCCTTCTTCTGCGCCCTGGGGAGTGGGAGGCAGGTGGGCGCTTTAGCAACGTGCCTGGGGGGTGAAATCTGCACTGTTTTCCCCAGCTGTGGGGGGAGGGGGAGAGCAGCAGAGCATGGAATCGCTTCCTCCCCCTTCCAGGCAGATCCCCGGGTCGGATCCAGCTCCAGGCTTACCTGAGGCTCTGGGCTCGGCCCATGAGCCTCGGGGCGCCTCTGCCATCTCCTGCCCCATGGGGGGCTGCAGGGCTGGAGTGCCGGCTCTGGTTCCTCAATGCTGGTGGGGGAGGTAGAGCCTGGAGGGCTGGATTCGGCCCCCAGGCCTTACGTGCCCCACCCCTGCCCTTTCCCCTCTGAGAACAAGGGAGCCTCCCCTGCTGAAGAACAATGGGAGGCTCCCCTGTTGCCTGTCTGCCCAGGAGCACCCTGCATGCCCCATGGCCGAGCTGTGTGCATTGGGTTGTCAGTGGAGGTGACCAAGGATAAGGGGGAACCAAGAGCAGAGGAGACTCGCTCCCTTTAGCTTCTTCACTGCATATGGCAGGGCGTGTCCTGCTCCCACTCAAGCAGGTGAACACACACAGCAGGGCTGACATTTCTCTGCGGGCCAGGCAGCAAGAGCCCAGGCCCAGAGCAAGAACCTGGATTTCCTCAGGATCAGTGCAGATGCCTCTCCACCAGTGTGCCCTGCCAGCTGAGCGCTCGGGTGGCCATCCTGGTGCCCAGTTTCTGTGGGTGGTGCACATCTGCACATGCCTTGGTGCACAGCACAAAATTTATTCTGCACAGGATGGGAAAAATTAGAGGGAACATTGCTTTCAAGTGCCGCTGGCTTCTCTTCACCTGCCTTCCATGCACTCCTGTCACACGCTGCTTTCATCCTTGCATGCTGGTTTGCAGCATGCCGGGGGGCTGAGTGTGTTGCCCAGCGCAGCTCTGTTGGGGAAGTGACCGTTGGTCGAGGAGAGATGCTAGTGTGCTCTGGGTGTGCGTGGCAGCCGTTAGGTTTCCTGCTCCTTGTCTCTTGTGGCTGATCCTTTCAATAGGAAGCGCTGAGCCATGCAGCTGCGGGTAGAGACAATGTGACTCGTATTTCAGGATCAAATTCCCTCCAGCACGGCCCCCCCCCTCCTTTCGCAGGGCTGCTCGCCCCTGTGTTCTACCTGTGTGCTGCTCAGTCTCCGGGCTGATTCTGGTCTCATGGCATTGGGACACATTTGGCATTATCAGAGAGCTGGTAGGTAAGGTCCCTTGGGAAGCAAGACTAAGAGGAAAAACAACTGAAGAGTTGGCAGTTTTTCAAAGGGACATTATTAAGGGCCCAAAAGCAAGCTATTCCACTCCTTAGGAAAGCTTGAAAGTATGGCAAAAGACCGTCCTGGCTTCACCAGGAGATCTGGCATGATCTCGAAATCAAAAAGGAGTCGTATAAAAAGTGGAAACTTGGTCAAATGACAAAGGATGAATATAAGCAAACAACACAGGTGTGCAGGGGCAAGATTAGAAAGGCAAAAGCACAAAACAAGCTCAAACTAGCTGGAGACATAAAGGGTAATAAGAAGACATTCTATAAATATATTAGAAGCAAGAGGAAGACCACGGACAGGGTAGGCTCATTGCTCAGTGAGGAGGGAGAAACAATAACAGGAAACTTGGAAACAGCAGAGGTGCTTAATGACGTCTTTGTTTTGGTCTTCACCAAGAAGTCTGATGTAGGAATGCCCAACATCGTGAATGCTAGTGGGAAGAGGGAAATAAAAAAGGAACAAGTTAAAAATGACTTAGAAAAGTTAGATGTCTGCAAGTCACCAGGGCCTGATGAAATGCAGCCTAGAATACTCAAGGAGCTGGTAGAGGAGGGAGCTGAGACTTTAGCTCTCATCTTTGAAAAATCTTGGAAGATGGGAGAGATTCCAGAAGACTGGAAAAGAGCAAATCTAGTGCTCATCTCTAAAAAGGGGAATAAGAACAACCCAGGAAACTACAGACCAGTCAGTTTAACGTCTGTGCCAGGAAAGATAATGGAGAAAGTAATTAAGGAATTAATCTGGAAGAAAATTAGGTGATAGGGAACAGCCAGCATAGATTTGTAAAGCACAAATCATGCCAAACCAATCAGCTAGCTTTCTTTGATAGGATAACGCACCTTGTGGCTAAGGGAGAAGCAGTGGACGTGGGATACCTAGACTTTAGTAAGGAGTTTGATACGATCTGGCATGACCTTCTTATCAATAAACTAGGCAAATACAACTTAGTTGGGGCTACTATAAGGTGGGGGCATAACTGGCTGGATAACCATTCTCAGAGTAGTTATTAACAGTTCACAATCCTGCTGGAAAGGCATAACAAGTGGGGTTCCGCAGGGGTCTGTTTTGGGACCGGCTTTGTTCAATATCTTCATCAACGATTTAGATAATGGCATAGAGAGGATGCTTATTAAGTTTGCAGACGATACCAAGCTGGGAGGGGTGGCAAGTGCTTTGGAGGATGAGTCATAATTCAAACTGATCTGGACACACTGGAGAAATGGTCTGAGGTAAACAGGATGAAGTTTAATAAGGACAAATGCAGAGAGCTCCGCTGAGGAAGGAACAGTCTGTGTCACATACAGACTGGGAAGTGGCTGTCTAGGAAGGAGCCCGGCAGAAAGGGATCTAGAGGTCATAGCGGACCACAAGCTAAAGATGAGCCAAGAATGTGATGCTGTTGCAAAAAAAGCAAACCAGATTCTGGGCTGCATGGACAGGAGTGTTGTGAGCAAGACACGAGACGTCGTTCTTCCGCTCTGCTCTGCGCGGATCAGGCCTCAGTTGGAGCATTGTGTCCAGTTCTGGGCACCCAGTGCCGGACCGAGCCATACTTGTGCCATACTATAGGGGGCGCCTGATTAAAGTCAGGGCTGGCTTTAGGAAGTACTGGGCCCAAATCAAACCAAATTTTGGTTGAGCAAAAACAAACAAAAAAACAACCCAGCACACAAAGAAAACTCACAGCCTCTTTAAAGAGACTGCGCACAAAAGCCTCTGTGCTCCTTCTCCAGGGCCAATGCCCCCTCCCACGGCACACTTCCAGGTGTGGGGCCAGATTCAGAGGAATTGGCCTAAAGCCAGCCCTGATTGACGGGGCAAGGGGTGCAGCCCCCCCTTATCAGTTCTGTCAGCACCCCAGGCAGCTGCTCAGCTAGTCCCTCTGCTTAATACACACTGATCTCATAGAGGTGGAAGGGACATTGAGAGGTTATCAAGTCCAGCCCCCTGCCCTCATGGCAGAGCCAAGTACCATCTCTGATAGATTTGCCCTACATGGTCCCCTTGAGAATTGAACTCACAACCCTGTGTTTAATAAGCCAATGCTCAAACCACTGAGCTATCCCTGCCCTTCTAGGAGGAAGGTCTAGAGAACATGAGCTGTGAGAGACGACTGCGAGAACTGGGCTTGTTTAGTTTAGAAAGGAGAAGATCGAGAGGGGACGTGACAGCGGTTTTCAGGTACCTAAAAGGGTATCACAAGGAGGAGAGAGAAAAATTGTTCTCCTTTAGCTCTGAGGACAGGACAAGAAGCAAAGGGCTTAAACTGCAGCAAGGGAGGTTGTGGACTCTCCATCTCTGGAGATATTTAAGAGCAGGTTGGACAGAGCTAGATGGTGCTGGGTCCTGCCGTGAAGGCAGGGGACTGGACTCAATGACTCTCGAGGCCCCTTCCGATTCTAGTGTGCTATATGTGCCCAGGGCTTCTGCATCCTCTGAGCTGCAGTCGTGAAACGAGGCCCCATTGCGCTGGGTGCTGTACAAACCCAGAAGGAAAATATTGGTCTTGCATCTCTGATCAAGCCAGCGAGGTGCAAACCCCAGCTCGGCTGGTCGCCTCCTGCTCTTGGCTAGCGCCGGTGCAAGCACCTGTCCAAGGTGCAGGGTGAAGGAGATTGGACCCTGCTGTCTTTAAAAGCCCAGCTGTATTCTCCTCCAGCTCCCAGAAAAATACATGCCAAACCTGTGAGCTTGCAGGGTAAGGCTGTGCCTGCGCGGCACAGGTAGTCCCTGCTGCACGTATTGGTGGATCCGCCTCGCACGGCCACAGGCAGCGGTGAGACTACGGGGGCGGCGCCAAGGGGAGCTGGCACAGCAGGGATTTTGCTGCTTGCGTTGCACTGGTGTGCTCTGGAAAAGCCGCACGGGTCTGCCTGCCTGAGCTGGAATTGCCTGCAGGGTTGGCAGGCCCATAAGCGGATCTTTATTCCCCTCTGGCCGGTGGGGAGCTGAGGGCCACGGTGGGCGAATGGGGATGTTGCTTGGACTGAGGGGAGGGGGGTAATGACAGCAGGACCCTCGGTGGTTCCCAGATGTCTGGGGCGCCCACTGACTCCCCCCTCCTACTTTCTTTAGAGTTTCTGGCCAACTGCTCGGCCCTGGGCTGCCAGCACCACTGCGTCCCGACGCTCGTGGGCCCCACCTGCTACTGCAACAGCTCCTTCCAGCTGGCCGAGGACCGGAAGAGCTGCAAAGGTGGGTCGCGCCCGGGCACGGCGGCATGGGCAAGCGCTGTGGATTACACTGCCCCCCTCCTGCCCCAGTGCGGGCGCTGAGCGAGGGGTGTCAGGCAGGGGAGACCAGCGGGGCAGGAGTGGGATGCACCATGCATGGGACCATCCCCGGTGGGGGCGGGGGCGGGTGAGGGTCCAGTGCAAGAAGGACGCCTGCTCGGCCAAAGCTGCCTCGGCGCAGGAGCCGGGAGACGTGTGTTTCCTTTCGGTGTCTCAAGAGCAGGCTGAGTGCAGGGTAAAGGCCCTGAGGGCAGAGCGGGAGCCAGCGGGCGCAAGAGCGATTCAGATTGTTCACCCTGTCCATTGGAACGGCTGGCCCGGGGCTGGGTGGGTTCTCTGCTGGCGGGGGCTGGGGCGGGTTCTCCGCTGGCTGGGTCTGGG